TCACGTTCTTTCAACGAAACTTTATTCAGGTGTTTGAACCTCCCATTTTCCGTAATTTTCTTAAATTGTTAAGTAGCAGCTTTGTAAGCATTGATTTTCAAAAGCATTTCTATTCTATTTTTCGATTACTTCATTTCCTGACTGAGCACAGTGTGAGTGGGAATTGAACGAAAATAACAATTAAACTACAAACTCCTCGTGATTCTCTACTCAACTATCAAATTTTGATATAAAATGGAAATTTTGTCACAGATAAAGTTTATTTTGACGATGCTGTGGTTGTTTGACGATGTAGAATCAAATCACTGGAAAAAGATGGCTCACGCTCTTATTGGATTCAGTGCATTTGCAATAATAACAAGTTTTACTGTGGCAAGTACGATTTTCTTCGTGAAGTTTGCAACGACTGATATCGAAGAGATATTATACGCTTTGTTTCACATTTCCGCGTTCAGTGGTTTGATGTATGTAATCATCGTTGCGTTCATCTTACGAGACACAATTACAACAATGCTCAGACGTTTGTCGGATATCTATCGGATATGTAAAATATGTTTGAAGAAGTTCATTCGCTGTGTTTCCAACTAAATTTCTTTTCTTTTTGAAAATGCAGACGAAAATGACGATTCCTTCAAATTTTTGGTGAGAGCAAATGAAAAAAGTGAAAAAATATGGAAAATGTATCTAAAATTCGGAATGGGTGGATTTTGTGCTGATTTGATTTTTGCATCTACAACTTCCGTTCTGTTGGGTTACTATTGGCACCGGGAGTTCGACACCGATGATTTCTACTTTCCAAGTAGACTTATGTTTGTAGTTTGCACTTTCGCCGACATCTTCGAAAAAATTAACCGTTATTTGTCCATTTCGGCACTAGTTTACCATGGAATAAATCTACGCTGCTGGGGTATATTGGAGAAATTGGCTTTGGAATACTGAGCGGCGAGGCTTATATGTGTTTTAATGGAGTTATTTTGGTGCTATTCGTTTCGATGTGCTTGCATCACCGGGCGTTTTATGAAATGTTCCAACATTTTTTACGCAAATTTGATCCGGACAAAAACGACACCGGATCCATTTGCCAAATTGTTCGATTTCACGTCACTGTCAAAAGGTAAAAGAATACCGCCGAAAATTCCATTTTCTAATCGAAGATCTGATCTTTTTCAGTTTGTTTTTGGATTCGGCCAATTTTTACAGTTCAATTGTGATGATCGAGTTGATTTACAGCATGATTGGTGTCGCTTGTCTCGTTTTCCAAATGGATTTGGTATGAATTTCATCCTTTTTTGTCGTATTTTAATTCCCTTCAAAGAATGAAGAACAATTTTTCAACCCAAATTAAAGAACCAAAGGAAAGAGATTCACAATAAACATTGATTTGGTTTCAGAAACGTCAGCATATTGATTTCGGCATCAGTTTTCTATTGGTGACGTTCTCAGTTGGAACGGCAAATCTTTTCTTTTATTGCTTCTTCGGCAAATTGGCGACTGACAGTTTTGCAAAAATGGCAAATTCGTTGTATGAATGCAAATGGCCACAGTTTCCAGTTAAACAACAAAAGCACTTTATTCTGATGATACAAAATGCACAAGTGCCCATATTCTATCACGGGTTCGGAGTTGCTATTTTGGATCTGGAAACATTCACAGCTGTAAGTATAAATATGTAAAATAGATTTTCTATTTTTAAAAAAATGCAAGAAAGTTATGCTCTTACAGTTTTTCAGAATGATTTTCAAATTCTTCATGATGTTCAAGGCCTTAACTTCAAATTAATCATACATCAACTTAAATTGAATATTTCTCAAAAATACTTTTTCTCGAACGAGCGTTTTCCCGAAAATTCTGGAAATCTTCTTGGCAAAATTCTCGAATTTTTGAGGAAATCTGGGAAAACGTTCGTTTGGGAATCTTTTTTTGAGAAATGTTCCAGTATTATCCAAAATTAATGTTTTCTGCTGTCTATGTTTTGAAATATATTGTATTGATATTAACAAGCCTCAGTAAAATTGATGTTTCGTCCCAATAATATCACCTCTTACGAATAAAAATGGCGAAAGTATTGAGTCAGCACTGGATTTGGAGCACTTTTTCGAAAGATATATGAAATTTCCTTTGTCTGAATCGTGGAAGCGAATTTAAGTAAATAAAATCAGACGTCCTTTAGGAGCAGCTTAGAGTTCTAACAGCACCTGGCTGTTGGCCCATGAATCAAGAGCCTTGAAATGTTCTTTTTTACCTACCTATTATTCCCATCGGATAACCCACCATTAAGCACCAAAAAAGTGTTATATGCACTCATGATTCAGAAAGTTGATGAATTATACTCATTTTCAATAAAAGTGAATTAATTAATGAAAGACTTGAATCTAGACTTGAATTGAAAGCAAAACGTTTGATTAAAATCAATAAATGGCTTAAAAACTACGTTATTCCAGACTTAATATGATTTTCCAGCATTTTCGAAACCTCTCGAATAAACTTTCAGGTTCGCCCCCAATTTCGTATTTCATTCGACGGTAAGTTGGACATAATGTAGTTAAATACATCAAAATATAGTCTGTATCTCAATCTCTTTTTCAGATCCATAGTTCAAATTTGAAAAATTCATCAATTTTATGTGCGGCTTGAAAAGTTTATCAAAATTTCCATCATTCGTGCGTTTTTTTTATGAATAATGAGAGAGAGAGAGAGCTGTTCGTAGTCGCTGCATTTAATTAAATTTGCATGACAATGTGTCTACAAAATCGAAATAGTAACGCCCTTCATTAAATTCATTCCACGAATGGGTTGTACGCTTCAAAATCGAATTCTCTAACGAATAAAAGTCAAAAAGTGACTCTCATTTTCCTTAGAATTCATTGTCCATTCTTCATTAAAACACCCGTTACCACGAGAAATCCTATATGAAAATTTTACAAACGATAAAGCTGGTCCTGATGTGGATTTGGGTGTACAAAGGTGATGTGGAAATAAGCAAAACAACGAGAGTAGTGCATGGAGTTGTTGGATTCGGATTTCTGGCAATAATTACGAGTCATACCATAAGCAGTTTTCTATTCTTTGTGAAGTATATTTCGACAAATTTGGAGGAATCCTTGTATGCCCTATTCCAATTCATCGCTTTCGTCGGATTAGTGTACGTGATCGTTGCAACATTTATATTAAGAGACAGAGTAACGTCAATTCTAAACAATTTGTCGGAAATTTATGCGGAAAGTAATAATTTAACGTGCCAAACTTTGGTGTTTGTTGAATTTTAATTTAATTTCCATTCATGCAGATAACAATGAGGAATCGTTGATACACTTGGTGCAAGCCAATGAAAGATCAGAGTGGTTATGGAAAATGTATCTCATATTTGTTATGGGCGGCTTCTGTACCAATTTGATTTTGGGTTCGTTTATTTCGATTCTGTTGTGCTTTCATAAGTACGGAACACTGAGCACAGAACATCTTTATTTACCGAGTAGATTGACGTGAGTCATAAATTGTTGTGAGTCTTACACTTAACTTTCATTCAAAAGTTTTGAATTCTCTTTCGCAAATTTTTTAGATTGCCCTGGAATCAACAAAAATTACCCGGATATTTCGCTCAAATCGGTTACAGTACAATTAGTGCTGAAGCGTTTTTATGTTTCAATGGAGCGATTTTAATGTTATTCATTTCAATGTGCTTGCATCATGGTGCATTTTACGAAATATTTCATAATTCCGTACAAAAATTGAACTCACCCGGTGTTAGAAGAAATGAGTCCATTTTTCGAATTATTCGGTTTCATATCAGGGTTAAGAGGTGAGCAAAATGTAATGGAGTTTGATATAAATACATTTTTTAAAATCGACGCTTTGTTTCAGTTGGTTTTTCGATTCGGCCAATTTTTACAGCCTTATTGTGATGATCGAATTGATTGTCTGTATGTTTGCCATCCCTTGTGTCCTTTTCCAAATAGATTTAGTATGAAATTTATGAGTTCTAGTGGTTTGGAATTTACCGCACATCCAGAGCTGTGTTATAGGTATCGCAGTGGAGCGGGCACTTTTTTGTAAGTGTCGCTCTTTCTTCTCTTTAGATGCGGCATTTAGACACCTAAATCGTGGAGCGGGAACGAATGAGACTCAAACATGTGTGCTTCTTCTTCAAAACCAATACCCAGACAAGGATCACATGTACGCAGAAGTCAATAGTATTCATCACAGAAACGAAGCTGAGTAGCGCGCGCATGCATTTGTGTTTGCACTCAGCACTGTGCTGTTATGGCGTATACTTGTGATGTTTATGAGAAAAAGAAGCACACGTTTCAGGTCTACTCGTTTATATGTTAATTATAAGTTTTTTCCGGCCCCTTATACGGATTAAGTGCGAGCTCTTCTGCGGTGCCAAATAAGCTCTGTACTCTCCTCACTAGACCTTTTAAACGCATAGAATTTCATCAATTCCAGAATCTTCAGCACATTGATTTCGGCCTAAGTTTTCTCTTGGTGACATTTTTGATAGGAAGTGGGAATCTCTTTCTATTTTGTTTCTTTGGAAAAATGGCCACGGACAGTTTTGCCAAAATGGTCGATTCGTTGTTCCAAAGCAACTGGTATAATCTTTCTGTTGAACAACAAAAATATGTGGCTTTTATGATACAAAATGCTCAAGTTGAGATGACCTATTCCGGTTTTGGTGTGACCATTCTACGCTTGGAAACATTCAACACTGTAAGTATCACTTTACATTAAAATTGAAAATGTGCCGATTTTATGTGGTGCTATTTTCAGTTTTTCAGATCAATTTACCAATTTTTTGCGATTTTAAAAACTTTAACGTCGAATTAATTGAAGGAAAAAGGCAACACACAAATTTAAGGAGATATTCTCAAGATGCTTGGTTCATTTATTTCAAGATTAACATTTATTGACAAAAAATAAAGCACCAAAAATATAGTACAGATTTGATTATTTCAAAATGATTTATTTTATCCAAAACCAAATTTCAACATTAATCCCCATTCCAAAAAAAAAAAAAAAAGATTTACAAATTTGGCCAAACAATGGGCTCAATCCAGTTCAAGTAATAAGCGACTCTGGTGTAAATGCTTGGTAAAGATGTACCGCAGCTAATACCGAATGACACAATGCCCACAATATGAACGACGGACGAATTCTTATCAAAGTATTGAAGTGGGCCACCACTGTCGCCTCGGCAACTGTCATTTACTCCTTGTGGATCATACGCACAGTACTGCCCTTGACTGATGCCATTTCGGAATGGAGCGTGATTCGGTAGTTGGTTGTAATGTATCATTGTATCATTGCACTCTGATAATGGCATTGTTACCAAATACGTCTTACGTAGCTCATTTGATCGTATCGTTTCTAAAAATATAAACAGAAATAGATTTTTTTCAAACAAAAAAATGGAAGCTCAATTTGAAGATGATAGTTTGATCTGTTCACATATGTTAACCGACGAAAGTTAAACCTACGTTCAGCTGAAATACTTCCCCATCCGGTAACAATGAGTGTGACACTTTGCGAGGCGTCACGCATATCAATGTTTAGACATCCTGGCATTATTTTATTTGAAAAATCGATTCGTTTGGTGATTTTAAGCAAAGCTATATCGTTCTGCTTGGTTAGCGATGAATGCTTGGGGTGTGCTATGACTTCCTAATGAATAAACCGAACATTCAAATCATTGAAGCTGCAATCATTTCAATAATTAAAATTTTTTCACCTTTATTTGACGATTAACTGCTTTAACACCATCTTCATTGGTTAAAGCCAACTTTCCCATTCGAGCTACAATTGGCCGTCGGGGTTTGACACAATGTGCGGCGGTAAGTATAAAAATATCCGAGATGATAGTTCCACCACAGTCAAAATTCAGTTGGTAATATTCATCAATGTAACCCAGAGCAGCCTAGACAAAAAAAAAAAAACATTTTTAAATTTTCTTATAAAATCCCATTAAGATATTTACCATCCATGGAAAATCATCCGTCGAATCAACGGATTCACCGCCTAAAATTCTATCGATTGGCCACTGTGAGTACAGTTGACAAGCTAATTTATAGGGATAACAATGAATCACGTCAATTTTTCCTACTTTTTAAACGACATTTCGGAGACTGTTCCTCAGAGCCATTAATGTATGTAATAGAGGAGATCATTTTTAAGCTTTTAATATAATACTTTGCTCTTCTTTACATATATTGCTCTGAGAAGTCTTTACGAAATTTTACAAAATGTTCACCTTTTTGTGCTGGTCGAAAAACAGTTTTTTGAAAAAGTTCACAAATCCTTTTGTTTCCTGAATGATTCGATAAAAATGATATTTTGTTAGAGGATAAATTATCGTTTGTGCTACTTGCCTATTGTTTCAGACAGTTCCATTGGCGACACTCCATCATTATTTTTAATACTTTTATCCGCTTGATTTTTTAGTAGCATTTCCACTAGCTCCGCGTTACCTATGTATCAATTCAGTTGATTTTTCGTTTATTTGTAGAATAATAAATTTGATTTTAGCTCCATAAAAAATTCGTTGGTGTCGAAATTTAAATCTGATATAAATCGAAACACTTTTTTATCAGAAAATTATTTGATTTAATTTTCACCTTTTTGAACAGATATATGCAGCGCAGTATATCCAAATTTCGTTTGTTTGTCGATTGATGCACCATTTCTTATCAGTAATTTGGTCATATTTAAAAGACCTAAATGAATTAAATGTTATGGTTTTAAGACATTTTATCAACACTGAATTTTTTAACAATATTCAACAATGAACAAACCTCCATCCACTGCACTAATTAAAGGTGTCCAGTCATCATTGTTGATGGTATTTATATCTGAACCGTGTTTTAGCAGAAAATCCACTGTCTCTTCTTTATCTGAAAATAGATTCAATCTTCAGTACCAACCCACGAGCATTTAGTAACTAATCTATGAAATAAATCACATAAAATATGGTAAAACACACTTTGTTGAACAGCGACATGCAAACCGGTATACCCATAATTGCTTTTATCGTTGATATTTGCACCATTTCTGATTAAAACGTTGATCACATCATTCTTGCCTAAATTTCAATGAATTTAATTTCTATTCTTTTTGCTTTACAATGGTATGCATGACTACAGTCTTTTACCAAAAAATGAAGCCGTTATTAAAGGTGTCCAGCCATCACTATTTTTGTTATTAACATTCACTCCATTTTGAATCAATTCCTTAACCTTATTCACATCTCCTGCAATATTACTTTCAAAGTAGTTAGTTATTCACAAATTTGTGCACAAAAATGTATTTTTTTTCTGATAGCATACCCCTTTGGGCTGCATTATGTATTTCTATCGAAGAGCTTATTTCCCGTGTAAATTGCGAACCTAAAATAACCATCATTGTTGAATTTGAATCAAAATCGAACTAAATTGATACTTTTTACCAAAAAACATTGAAGCAAAATATAAAAAAATGATTAAAAGTTTCATAATAATCTGCAACGGTTCACCATTTATTAAAATTGAATCTGCCTATATATGCCGCTTTTTTTCAACAACTTTGAAATAGCAACTGAAATCTCACAATATATGTATCGGCTATTTTTTAGCAAAAAAACAAACATATATTGTGTGTAAGTTTTACATATCTGCTTATCGTCGTATTTCCGGTATAAATTTATCATAAGCTACTTCAAATACTTGAATCAAATAAACATCAACAAATGTAACATACTCAAATGTGGCTTTATTAGAAGCATATTTTTACAGTATAATCTCTCTATAACGGAATCTCATGAAACACTCCTTCTTCGCTATTTGGAGATTATCCACTATTTGGAGCTATTAATCCCATTACTGTATCAAGTTTATTTCGACGAAATTATGTATAATTCAGTAATGTGCGAAGGGAGTGGGGGGGGGGGGGGATTTACCCGCCTGAGGTTTGGATAGTTTTTTTTTCGATTTGTTAGTGTTTTCTATGAGAGATCAATCTTTCAATTTGCTAAACTTTTTTTGAGCGTCAATTTTACGTGCACAGAAATAAAATTAAGTTTTGAAAATGACCCCCCCTTTTGAAATCTTACCTCTCACACTACTGGTATAATTGAAACTTTATCTTAATGCATAAAATATTCTAACTAGTTTCATTGAGATTAAAGAGCTGAAATCCGGTCAGTTTAAATTTGACAGCTTATTTAACAAATGAATGAAATGAAATCGCGAACTCTATTTAATCAAATTCAAATGAAATAAAAACATCATTAAATCGAGATAACAAATTAGACGTATTTAATGTCAATCTTTGTATGTATTTCGAGTAGTGTTCCACTCATCATTAGCAACACGACGATGCGATTAACTTAGATTTAGGAAATATTGAATCTGATTTATTCGCTCTAATATAGATGCTTTTTACTTTTCCGCACACACCTAGTGTGAAAGGGGAAAGTATTGCAATGGGTCAAAATTTACGAAACCTCAAAAACATGTTTTCTGGACGTTTCTGAGGTCAGAGAACCCGAATCAGGCCGTTTTGAGCATGGTTGGTGTCGTACGCTGTCCGCCGTACGCAAAATTTGTCCATCGATTATCACACCCCCCAGAAAAGTTATTTAAATTTTGAGCGATTTTGGTCGATGGAAAAAATTGTCATGCCTGGAGTGATACCTATGAAAAAGAGTCCAATTTTCGTCCAAAAGTCATACTTAATGTAGACTTAAACACTCAAAAATATGTATTTGGGGGTTTTTTGGCACGAGAAAACCGAATCCGAGGTTAATTTTGAGATACAATCACTTTTTGATACAGTTTCCTTGAAAAAATCACCAAAAAATTGCATTTTTGTATGGGAGCCATACCGTCACCTTAATGACGTGAAACTTTGCACAGACTATTTTTTGCACAAAAAAATAACATTCTGAAAGTTTGATGAAATTTTAATCAAAATTAGGAGTACCTCCCTTACAACATTTTCAATTTTTGGTTCAAAAAAGAATATTACTCATAATTTTCGTTGAAATTTCTCCAAACTTTTCGAATGGTTTTTTTTGTGAAAAAAATAACCTGTGCAAAGTTTCACGTGCTTACGATACCATACAGGTATGATTCCCATACAAAAATCCATTTTGTTTTACTTTTGTATGAAAAGTGTTTCAAAAATAATGTTTATGGCAAAATTAACGTCAGACATATTTTTTATATTGTTTTATAGAAAATAGAATTCTTTCAAATGTCGTACAAATGGGTTCATCATGAAGTGTGAAAAATCTTTTCCGAGTACTTCTGCTACTAAATAAAAGAATATTTCGATGCCAAAGTTGAAACATATTTTTTGGTCTCGAACTTTACGCCGCTTGAAAGGCTTGAAAAATCGAACAAATATTATTTTGAAATAGCTTAATAGAATACGCATCTACCACCGTGCGGAAAAGTTCGTCTTACTCCTGTAAGACTCTTTATTTATTTGTCTTTTTGTATCATTTGGTATGCAAACACATTCGTAAACGCGACTTTGTTTCTCTTTTATCGATGCGATATGTGTAACTTACTCTTTCTGTCTCTCAATTTTAAATGTAATTCGATAGTAATTCGATTTTTTATGAATTTTTTATTTCTTATGATTATTGATAAGAAAATTGTATATATATTTGAGATTGGGTTTTGGTCGTGATGCTGATGATGAGTAGTACACTACTCGAAATGCATACAAAGATTACAATAGAAGACATTAAATACGTCTAATTTGCTATCTGAATATAATGAAGTTTTTATTCCATTTGAATTTGTGACAGCTTATGCTAGACCTTCAATGCTCTAATCCAGTTGCATACTTCAATCTATGTTTTGGATAAAACACACTCACAATTCCATCCAAATACTTTGAAGCTGGGAATTTGGTTTGTCATTTGTGTGGTTCGGCTGTAATATCATAACTTCAAAACCTTTTCCAGAAGTGATGTCAAAACCTTAATCACGATTGAATCGATGTTGAAATTTCCTCTTTATACTTACTTTCACTTTTACTTGATCTTTTCCTCTAAAAAGTGATAACCAAGAGATGTTGTTTACAAAGTAGCTTGAATTCAATTGTGATTTGGGCGATAAAAACGACTACTTATTTATTTTGAAAGATTTAATATCGATAAAAGTCAGTATGATTTATTAAGGTATCTTAAGTACTTGTCTAAATTTATAAGTAAATCTTCTTAATCATGTCCGGACGTCTCTTATCATTTTCTCTTGAATTTCGAAATCATTCTGAATATTACAGTGTCAACAAAGTTCCAAAGAACAAATATTAAAATAAAAAGGCATAAATGTAAAACTTTGAAATTAATGTCATCTCACTTTATTTGGTATCATCTTATATGAATAATAAAAACCAGTTTTCTTTACAGATCAATAATTTGTTTTGTTTAAAGTAAAAGTCATTTGTGAGTGATTGTTCTGTTTTTTTTTTGTTAAGTGTAAATGCATAAAAAAGTTCTTAGATTGGGAGGTTTGGATTATTGTAACGCACGTATTTGAGAAGAGCGTCATTTTCTTCGCAAACGAATGGTTTTTTGTGGTGGCAAGCAACATCATGCCAGTTAACGCCATCGTTGTAGAATTGGTTCAAAACGGCCAAACAATTTTCGTGGGCACCGCCTTGTTTGTATTCACGATCGTCTGGTTGTGGCAAACCAATACCACCATTTTCGGACCAATCACCTTGTGATCGGTCGGTGGTAGGTGCGATCTTTTGTGATTCGGCTGTCCAGAACCAACCATGAGTTTGAACCGGCTGCAAATCTGGACGATCGCATCCTTTGAAGTCACACATACGACCACTGGTCCAGATGTATTTTACCTGAGGAAAAATTGAAGAAAATTGATTAGAAAAAGAAAATTTTAAACAGGAAAAATGAGATAAAAGAGCCGAAAATATCGAAAAAAGTCGTTAAAAATAGAAAAAGAACCAGAAAATCGAACAAAAGAGGTGAAAAATACAAAAAAGAGCAAACAATTACAAGAAATGAGGTGAAAAATCGACGAAAAAATGCGAAAAGTCCAAAAAGAGCCAAAAAAATCTCAAAAATGTTGATTTACAGCAAAATGACAATGTAAAATAAAAAAGACGTTTTATATTGGTGAAAATAGTAAAAAAATTCATGCAAAAATTCATGCGAAAAATTCATAAAAATAAATCATCCAAAATGAGCAAAACACACAGAAAGAGAAAGAGAGAGAAATACAAACAGTTCAAATGCCGCACGTGCAATCATGTGTAGTGTGTTATCGTGGTTGAACAGGTGAGCGAGTGATGATAGTTGTGTGATATGTGTAGTTCACATCGTTATACGAAGACAAAAAAACAAGCGCACACACATCAGACGTAGACATGAGTGCAGACACTATATACGCTTTATAAGTACAGTCGCGACTATCTCAAAATGATGTGACGAACGATCGCACAAAGCGTACTACCAAATCGACCAACTGTGAACAATTCAAAAGAAAGTGTAAATGAAACGACCGAATGACGCTCGCACCGAATGTTGTTCATGTGTCGCTTTAGTGATTCATGCATTCCATCGTCGATGCTTCGATGCTTTTATGCTTTTATGTTTATTTTTATATGAGCGATGTAAAAGAAATCGCAATATTCAACGTTGTGTTCGAATTTAAAATGCAATTAGGTTAAGTCAATAACTCATTTGGGATCTTTAGTAATCGATCTTTTCCTACGCAGTGTGTTTGTTCGCTGTTGCTTCTATTTTGAAAGAGAAAGAAAGCAATCCGGAGATATGCGAAAACGGTAATTTACATTTCCCATTGACAACAATGAAGTTCAGTTCACACACACACACATGTATTTGAATTGGCAACAAACCATATTTGAATTGGCGAAAGTCGTAAAAAGAATTTGAAGTGAAAAAAAAGCAAATGCCGGTAACTGAAAGTCTTTATTCTCGTTCATTTGATTTGATTTGTTTTTTTTTTTTTTTTTTTGCTCCGTCGGAATGCTAATGTTGAGTTAATGAAGTAGAAAGAGACGCGGGTGTGTGAGCCGATTGTATGTGCGTTCTGATGAAATCGGACGCAAAATGTAAACAACGTTGATGAATGAGAGGGAGCGTTAAACTACTAAAATAACTAATTTGCATTGTTAATTTTGTGTTTTTGCCATTTCGTAGAACATGCACGCGCAGAGATGAAAAAAAAATTTCTTTTTCATTTTCGCACATTTTTTCTTCTTCATCTGCGAACGAAAAAAAAAATCTGCTGAAAGTAGCGCCTATTAATATTTATTGACTTTTACAACTTACGGTACCGATGCTGTTTTTATGCGAATGAGATGCGAATTTTATTGTGATTTATTGCTTATTGGCGTTTCGCTTCTCGTTCGCACTCATTTCAATTCGGACGCAAAAGAGAAAATCCATTATTTATCCACAAAGAATTTGCACACGCATAAACAACATGACAACGATTCATGAAATGACTGACATACCATTCTCAATACGGGCAATATATGCCGATGCTATTATCACTTTCGTTTATAATCTGTGGCTTTTTATCGATTTCTTTCGCATATTCGGAAGTTTGGCGGCTGTTTATGATGGTGAATTTCATTTTTGTGAAGAAGATTGCCGGCTGTTTTCGATTTTTTTTTTGTGAGAATTTCAATTTTCTTTTGCATGATTAAGTGGGCTTTAATTTAAAGTCTTCACATTTTCAATGATTTTTTGTCTCTTTCTTTCTTATGTTTTGACCCCTTTTATGCTTGTTGATGCCTATTTTTGTCGCTTTTTCTCTTCAATTTTAGATTTTTATCTATGAAAAATATAATTTTCCGGTTTTTTCCGTCCAAATTGGAGAATCGTTATCAAATGAAATTAAAGACGATTTCAAAATCAAGATCGAGGTAAGACGAAATGACATCATTTTCGAGTGCTAAATATAGATAAATCTCTCCCTCAAGAGAGAGAGAGAACGAAAGAGAGAAAGAGAGAGAACGAAAGAGGGAGAGAGAGGCGAAAGACTGAAAAAAGTATAATTCTACGACAAAAGTGATATTCGCAGCCGAAGCGGCGCATAGCTTAAGAAGAGCCAAAAAGCATTCCAAACAAAAAAACATTAATCGTAAGCCGGAGACAGCCGGGCGTTGCTCATAATACAATTCAAAACAAACGCGATTACAAAGACCCGTTAAACATACAATGCCGGAGAAATTGTGACATGTTTAAAATACATTGTTTATATTTACAAACATCGGTGTACATGTTTGCATTTAGAAATGACAATTACATCATTTTTTTGACAAAACACATGGACGGTTGATGTTGTTTAATCACGTACCGTTTCTAGAAATTGCGGTTCAACAAAGCGAACGCGCACTGAATATTCGATGCGTGTTCATATTTTAACTGCATAAATATTAATCGCTAAGCCAGCTCTAAGTTCGTTAATGTCTTGCTTCAACCATTTTCTTAATAATTCGTTTGAAAAACTGATTGTGATCACGTTCAATTCCCCCAAAAACGTTCGATTATGTTGAAAATGCGTTTGAAATTGAATTGGTGTGGTTATGAAATGCATTTCTCAATAAACTTTCTCGATTCTTGAAAATGAATGATCGTAGACAACAGTGTATTTTGTAATTGTCTTGTGTAATAAAAAAAATACATGTGATGATGATTGGACTTTCCGAACTAGTCGGCGCTTCTTTATGAACTTGACTTCAAAAGAGACTTCGCATCGGAAAATGAATGAATCAAAAAAGCCAATTAACTAAATGATGGTTAAAAATAGCCGAAAATGAAAACCTTGAAGCAGCTACTTCCTCACCGCATGAATGCACCGAAACAAACAACCGAGAAACCGGATTTTTCCATTGGACACAAAAAACATACACAACAACAATATCGGTGAAGATGGCCATAAACGTAATCGATACATAAACTCGGTTATTATGAATTGCATTATTTTGAATCTTTCTGCTATTTTCTCTTCGTTCGCTTCTTTCTTTCTGCTTACAATGGAATCATATACACTTTTTTCAGCATCGTGCGTTGATTTATTGCTCGAAAAATATGTTACGTTTTAAATGTGCGAAAATCGTCGAACAATTGAGAGCGAAAATGAGAAGATGATGAAGAAGAAAAACATTCCAATGACTGCTGAGTTTTGAAGTAAAAAAAAAACTGATGCGTGGAAAACAAAGCACGTGATTCATTTAATTGTAAAAAGAATCGAAAAGAAATAACATACATTATTTCATGCGCATTGCATAACGGCGTTCGCTTTGCAATTTCACTCGATTCTTCTTTTTTAATTCATTCACAAAAGATGTGTGTTTTTCTCGACTCTTTGTTGAAAATTTCACTTTAAATTTATTATCGCGTCATTATGATGCGTGGTTCATTATGTGAATTCGATGCCTTAGAATAACTGCAACCGCTGACGATATGAATGAGAATGGCATACAGCGTCAAGACAGAGACAGACAGGGAGAGAGACAGAGGGAGAGAGAGAAATATTAAATAAATACCTTTTCATCAACGATACGACGCTTGATCCATTCGTTTTCGTTGCTGGTTTCAAGTGATACGGAATCCATACAACGTTGACGACAGTAATTACGAGCATCCAACCAATCTTTTTCGACACCTTTCAATGCTGGATCACGCCACGAGAAGAAGTATCTGGAAATTCAATCAAAATTAAATATTTTACGTCAATTAAAGAGAAAAGACATTCAATAGGCATCACACACGCTATGCGAAAATGTTTAACCATCACGTTTTGTTCCAAACCATTTGAAAAGATAATAATTTGAAAGCATCACGCGAAAAAAAAATATGTTGATTTTATGGAGGCAAATTGGTACAGTAAAAAATGTCTTTGTTTAATTCGAAGGAATTTGATGAAAAAAATGCGCCAAGCGAATGCAGCCAATTAGGTATTTTTATTTTTAAAATGAATTTCAAACAAAAGACTGAATTGTCTCGTATTAATGAACCTCAAGAAAAAGGTCAATGAATGGACATTTTTTTCTTCACATTTTTTTAGCATCGGTTTGCCTTGCATTTAACTGGCGCCTCGCAACATTTTCTTTGACACCAAGCGCCATTTGGATTTGAATAAACAGCGGGACAATTTAGAGTTTAATTAATGCCATTTTTTCGTCCATTTTTTTTTCATATCTTTGAATTTCTTACCCTTTGTTGTCTGGTGCACGTTCATGAATTTGGCGTTGGGCGCACAATGCGGCCACCGGTCCTTCCAAGAAACGACCATTTGGGAATTGGGCTAAGGCAACACTTAGCACTGAACTGAAGCACACAACAGCCAAAAATGTCTTCATTTTTTCAAACGTTTTTTTCTTATGTCTGAAATAGAACAAAATCAATATTTTCGTTTAAAATTTTTAAATTTGATAAATTTTTTTTATTTAAATGCACTTTCGCACACAAAAAAACGCGAAGTTTTAGCGTTTGAAGAATGGGTATTTTGGAATTTAACTGGAACTGAATTTAAATGGAATTTGAAATGATTTAAAAATCGTTCATTGGCACCGAGAACTGATAAAAATCACCGATTCCCCCAGAATTTCATTGAAAAATGTTAAAATCTCTGAATTAATTTGAAAAAGCGCGGTATTTTTTCGATTTAACTCTCGATCAAAAGTCAAACTGTTAATTTATTCGGTGAAAAAAAGGTGTTCGTAAAACAAAGGTTTCGACGAAAAAAAAATTAATTAAATTTCAAAAAAAAAAAAAAAAATTCTGCAGCAAAATTCACAAAGTCACACAGTAACGTTTAATTCCAAGAGTTTTTTTTTCCACAACACAAAATTTGCTTACCAGAAATGAACTAGATAGTGAGACGATGCTCTTCGGTACAACACTTATAGCAAACTAACGAAATGTCTGGAAGAAGAAGCTCTTTATATAGAAGACTGAGTGTGCTTGTGGTTGTATGTTGGCAAGAAGAAAATGTGTATGACGCCAATGCGCGTTGATGACTATAAAAAGATAACCAATGGAATTGAATACAAAAAAAGAGCATACAACTTGTTTGTAATGTGTCGACCTTGGAAGAAATGCAGCAACAGAGAAAGAGAGACACAGTCAAACTAAACAATAGACGGGCCAAGAAAGAAAGAAAGAAAAAGAATAGAAAAAATAGACCGATGATGACAGGTTCCGACTTTTCTATTTGATTTTTAAAATTGGCACATATAATAATTGAGTTTCATATTCTCTGGTTTTTTTTTTCTTTCTCTCTTTTGGTCATGACGGCTAAAGTAAATCGATCGGGGCTTATTTAATCAATCGAAATTATTGTGTGAATAGCCCAAATAAAGTCCATTGCACACGTCAACTGAATGTGAAACGAATGTAATCACATGATTTCCAAAAAAAAACACACAAACGTGCAATCAAATTTATAATTCATAACACATAAAATTAATTATTCAATAGTAATATGCATGAGTGTATATGCGATACCATCTTTCCGTCAAACATTTACACCGACCAATCGTTTATCGCAATTAAATGGCATCATTAAATTCGGATCGTTTTTTTAATGCGTTGAATTCCGATCATTTCTTCATTTTCATATTTCAAGAACCAACGCCAAATGAGTTCATGCTATAAAAAACACTCAATCCATGTGTTAAAGGTTAAAGATTGAAGTTTTATTAGCAATTTCCTGACACCGATTTTTATGGTTTTTTGATGAATTTTGAAAAAAAGTTTTCTCCGATAGATGGTTATCAAGGTTTTATTTCATTATGATTCGGTTGAGATACAAAAAAAAAACTTCGATAAAATTGCACAGTGAAAGTGTTCCAAGTTCAGAGAGCCACAGCCAAAGCAATAGAAAGACAGAATAAGAGAGAACGATAGAGAGAGAACGAGAAAGGGCGGTTCTTCAAACGGAAACGATGAACAAATTGATAAATTGACACCTTGAAAAAGCAATAAGCATCGGAGGTCTTATTCAAACCATAGTCTGAGGTCTAGCCAATAAACAAGTTTTTCATAGACTGCAATCAACTACTACAATCTATTAAAATTGTCACAAAAAAAAAAACCACAAACAAAAAATTCGATGCAAACTTGATTATTATTTCAGTGGTTAGTTTCCGCATGAAGGTAACATTACTGTTATGCACACAGAAATGACGAAGCAATTAAAACCAGATATCTACTACGTGCCGAATGCCGGTAATGCTTTCTGCGTATGAGAGATAAGCATTGCACACTTGCTGCGATGATTAATCACATTCATCGATGTGCGTTCATAGAGTTTTTTTTTTCGTTGGTTGTCACCATAAAATGCACAAGAAAACATTTCAATTACTACGAGTTTTTAGACTTGCTTGTAATGAATACAATGTTTACATTCTTTCATGATCTTTATTGCTCTTGGCGCGTATTTAACGCGCTGTTTGTTATTAAAAAAAATATTGTTATTGCCTGGAACAAATGACATACGAGTGTGAAATTGTCTGTGACAATCAAGTTTGGCATAAAAAACGTGATTCGGCCTGAGATCGGTTCAATATCAATTAAATTGCTTTTTTTAGACGGTGCATACCACGAAAACTACTGTTAAAGTGATGATTTTGGCATGAATATGAATGAAATCGTTTTGAGTAACTGAAATCGAAATTTTTTTTTGATACAACCTGCTATGAACAACTGGGTCTTTTGAGAAAACAACCTGTTGGCTAATTTTGAACGAAAATGACTGGTTTACGTTGATCTTCTAGTGACAACAATGGTTTTTGGGTATAGGCAACTGTAGTTGAAGTCAAAAGTCGCTTGAAATATTCGACTGATCAAGTCCGCTGTGATTGTAGCAATTAACATTGTTTGAAAAGACAACAGAAATTCCATCATTTGTCTATACGACATTAATAAATAATATGATGGGTGGAAAAATTCTCGAACATTTCCATTTTTCAAACGAACAAATTTTTAGTACGTCTGGACCATACAGACTCTGGACTCCAGCCGCCGGACCAAAGTTGAACCAAATCATAAACAGGTATAATTAAACAGGTCATATTACCTTCATTAGCTGCACCTAATGAGCATCGTCGGGACATCTTTTTTCTATTTTCCGTTCAATCCATTCTTTCTTATGACAAATAACTAGGTAAAAACGTAGTTTTTTTCTTGGAACACATTTGCAAAAAAAGGAAAAAAAACATGACGAAAATGTTTCTAAATCGGTTTATATAAACATTTTGTACAGTAAAACTATAATCATTCAGTCAATTATTAATTTTATTTTCCCAAAGCAAAATTATAATAATATGAATCAAACATTTTTGTTAAGATAAACTTTTCATCTCTTCATTTCATTCATCCAAGAACTCAAATTCTCCTGAAGTTACAGTTTTATCACACAAAAAGTAACTTAAAATAACAAGAATTAATGTATATTCCGTCTTTTTCCATTCGTTGACCAATGTCAAAATTTGCCAGTGAGCAATTTTGACTGTAGAGATGAAAAATTTTTGAAGTTAAGTTTTTCCGTATGTTTGGAATTATCGACAAAAAAATTCCGATGAATGTCAGCAATGATGCAGCTCCACCGAAATAGTTCCGACCGAATTGAAAATAGTTCCTCGTAGTGTTTAGGCGATTTTCCCTTACTTCAAAAGTTGTTGAAACTTCAGTCCCGTCTTCATTTGGTATGCTAGTAACATAGACCTCTTTAATTCCCAGAAACTTTTCTTCCAAATAACCTTCAATTTCTGATGGCAAAAGAAAACATTGGTTTTTATCATTAGATTTCTTTTTTCCAACGGACATCTTGATCGAAGTGGCTAATGTCGTCGATTAAAATTCTTCATTATCAAAAGCCTAATGGTGTTTTCTGTGATTTTCGTATTGGTTGAAAATCTTATAATATGTCTTGTAACGAATTTCATCATCTTCGCCAATGTTACATCGATTTCCATGATCTTTGACAATTTTAACCGTGCAATTTAGCATTCTCCCCTCCCCTGACTCTTTATCACTACCATCATTCATGCACAATTACATTGGCTATTTCACTCATACAAGTTTTCGGAGATTTGAACTTGATTTTGTTGAGAAAAATGTTGTTTTTGTGGTTCGGCCTGGCTTGTGACACTCTCAAAGAGGGTTTTTAAAAGGGGAGAGTGTTTGATTTTAATGAGATCGCAATTTATTTATGTTGGAAACCGGAATCGTGCACTTTTGACGTATTTTACTGTCTATTTATTCAATTATTCGCAAATTTTGGTCGAGAAATTAGATTCTCATGAGTTACATCCATTATGGTACACATCAGCATAGCAATGTAACCAGAAATATAGTAAGTCGTACAAAATCTGTAGAATAATACGATAGTGATTGGTGTTTCATTCCCTATTCGATCGATTACGAGTAGTGTGTCGATCAAGTGCTATCGTACGTTCGTCGTGCAATCAACTTTTGTGTTTATTTTGTTAATACGGCACAGGGACACAATGCGTAACGCCGACGAATGTACTATGGCAATAGACCAGTTAAGTTGGACCCATATCGGTTGTTATGAGAAGTCATGTTTTGTGTGCTTGAGCAATTTTCGTTCCAAAATTTCGGGTATGATTTCAATATTAGATGTGCCAATGATAATTTCAAATTGTGTAAGGGCTCTGCGAATCTAAAACCAATCCAAATTGTTGGCTCTTTATCGTATATGGGCATCACTATCACTGGCATTGTTTTAAACTTTCCAAATAAATCAATGCAATTGAACACGGATAATTTTGAAAGACCTTTGTTTATATACATTTTGAAAAAGTACTATCTCAGCTTATTACACTTCTTGCAGCTTCAATTTAGATACTGAATAATGTACAACTCGTAATTTGGAGATAATTGAGTGCAAACATAGCTTCTAATCAGGGGCCCGAAAGGTCAGACATTTTTCAAACGACCTAATTTTTTTCCAAATTAGTATGGCATAATCCACTGCCGGAGCCCGATCATGGTATAGGATTTCCTATATAAAACTTGTAACTAACAACACCTCTAATGCGTATTCCGAGTACTAATTGACGTTTGTGACAATTTAAT